CCCCCTCGCCCTCCTGTAAAATAGTTACTTTACAATAAGGTTGTCTACGGTTTTTGACCTTCCCAGGCGAAAATTTAATTGCACTTACTTGTACATTCATCACAGTAACCGCATGTGTGATGACACTCGAGTTCCATTGAAACTTTACTACATTCACCATTTTTAGCACGCTGCTTACAGTCAGATTTTATATCGAGGCAGGTATCTGTGTAGAGGAACGTAATTTGTCTTTTATAACGAGAAATAACAATGGGGGATCTGGTTATCTTGGGATACATGTACAAGTTAATAAGACCAGATTCACCGACAAGCATTCATCATCTCTCGACCAAACAATGTATTAAATAAAATGAGGAACTTTTATATTACGCCTTTTTCAATCTCGAACTTGTTATGTGATGAACTTAATAGAAGAAGAGAACCCCTAAAGTAAACTATGTCTTTTTTAATCACAAACATATTTTAACATATTTACGATTTACACTGTGAAATTCTTTCATAACCTGGACTAAATGTCATTCGTAAGCGGATCTTCCGACCAAGTCTTACTTTTACCATTCGTACCTGACGAACAAAAATCACAAGTCTTTTTGCAATGATAAATCATTGCATCGTGCGAGGAGCAAAACCCNATTCATCATCTCTCGACCAAACAATATATTAAATAAAATGAGGAACTTTTATATTACGCCTTTTTCAATCGCGAACTTGTTATGTGATGAACTTAATAGAAGAAGAGAACCCCTAAAGTAAACTATGTCTTTTTAAATCACAGACATATTTTAACATATTTACGATTTACACTGTGAAATTCTTTCATAACCTGGACTGAATGTCATTCGTAAGCGGATCTTCCGACCAAGTCTTACTTTTACCATTCGTACCTGACGAACAAAAATCACAAGTCTTTTTGCAATGATAAATCATTGCATCGTGCGAGGAGCAAAACCCAGATGACTTCCACATTTCGTAATCTTTTGACGTGGCTCTGTCCACGCAGATCTTGGGCGATGGGTCTGAAAATTAACAAAGAATTTTTAAGGAAAAAAAAAAACAAAGAAAGAAAATTGGTTTACTTTCTTTCTCCGGTGAGATGAAAAGATACTGAAAGTTCCTTTAAAGATTACTGAACGTCTTAGATATCTTTTGCCGTCCAGTTTTCTTAGATATGCGTTTTCTTCGCGTTCGCTTCCTTCATAGCAACTGACAGTTCTTGCGATCTTCAGCCCAGACACCATTTGATCGCTTAATGATCGTAGTTTGTCTTTGAGAAAAGTCGTTCGCTTTTCCTGCTGCCCTATAACATCGATCGTCTCAGCTGAGGCCCGGCAGATGATATCAATCGATATCGGGAAGAAGGAAATGATTAAATCCTGCTGTCAGTCTGAGCAGTTTCCCGGAGAAGGTTTACTTACTTGTGCAGGTTTTGCAAGTCTTGCAGGAATTGGGGCACTCCTTATCCATGTTAGCTTTGTCTGATGAACATTTTCCTTCAGTGGCCCATTTCTTGCACTCAAATTTCAGGTCCATACAAGCATCTGAAAAATGGGGAAAAAGATGGTGGAATTTTGTAGTAATATATCAAACACGGTCTTTGACCACATTTCCAAACACCGAGAAGAGAGCTGAAAATACGACGCGCAGCGGAGTATTTTTGATCATGACGAACTTCGAGGTTTTTGGAAATTTGGTCAAACACTGTCTTGAGTGTTTGATATATCTTCTCAATCGAAACTAAAGCTAAGGAGAAAACGGACAAATGAAATTGTAAAAATCTATGCTAATTAAGATCAGATATCCAAACACCATCTCGATCATGATTTCCTTTGTATAAACTTGACGAATTATTAATGAGTTTGAAAATGTTGTTTCTCAAGAAATGGCTGAAAAATTATCAAACTATTTTGGGCAAAAACATTCGAAAAGGGCTTTTGTGATGTCACTTTACCATTCGTGGTCGGCAATAGAATGTCACAATTTTGCTGGTGACGAACGATTGAATTAAGACGGCCTGCGTGGTATATAAAACTGCTCAGTCACTCAGTTTATTTGAATGTCAGACGCACCAGATTATGTTGTATAATCTCCAACGTTAGAGTCGCCTAATGCTTGCCTGGTACCATTAGCCGATCCAGTCACTTATATCCCTTGCTATGGTTTAATAGTCTTAGTATTGCATTATTGAAACAATAAATCGTCTTGCAATTTTACCACGATGAATTATTTAATATGTTTTGACACTTACTAGATGTACAAAATCCACAAGTTTTCTTGCAGTGGTAAATCATGGACGAATGTTGTGTACAGAACCCAGCATCTCTCCAGCCCTCGCAGTCAGGTGTATTGGCCCTGTCCGCACATCGTTCGGGTGCTGTATAGGCTAAAACAACGTTTGCCAGAATTAAAAGGAAACACAACAATTAATCCACAAATGCAATACATTTTCATTATACTTGGGAAAGTCAGTTTTAGGGTATCATTTTTTTTTTTTTTACCTTCAGCTCCCCTCTCGGCACGACCTAAAAAGTAATACATAAATTAATGAACAAATTATCTAAGAAATCAACTAAGTATAATAAAGTAAGAAATCTAAGGCACATGTATATTTCGTAAATTAATATTTTATTTCATGTTGTTCACTTGTCAACTATGGATGAAATATAAACATGTAATTAAAAGTAACGGTTAAACTGTAAACAAAACATATTTTGGAGTTTTGGAGTTGAGAGAATACAAAGCAATCTTAATTATCTTCTAACAAATATCTCTATAGTAGTGGCCTGCCTCCCTAATTTAAAAATGCACTTAATTGTGTAACCGTCGGCATGCTAATTTGCACGCTAATGGTAGTACAGTGTATACGTAAGTAGAGGAGTACGCATTCGTAAGTCATACTTATAATTGAATCATTTTACATCTCCTTACGACAACAATTTGTAAATACTCACGGCTGGAACATTTGTACATCCTGCGTGCCTGCAATGCGTCGTCATCGCTGAGTTTCACATACGGGGTCTTACCACTGAGTGAGCGGATTGGCTCCATTGTCATTTTACCATTTTTGGAGAAAGCAGTCCACGGGTAATGCATGATGGATGCGTAGTCATACGGAACTCCATAGTCGACTACATCTGTACCTTGAACTTTCTTCTTGAAGTTGTACGCCATGCCTGCGATAAACCACAGTATAGGAAACATATATATGTGAAAAAAAAAAAAACAAACAAAAAAACAAAACAAAACAAAAAAAAAAAAACCAAGCAATAACAACAAATGTAAATACGGGATTGAAGTATTGACNGACAACAATTTGTAAATACTCACGGCTGGAACATTTGTACATCCTGCGTGCCTGCAATGCGTCGTCATCGACGACGCAAAAAGAAAAAACAAAAAGAAAAAACCCCGACAGACTAACATAAAGATTGAAAGTAAAGTAGAGATCATCCCTTCCCTGTGATAACTGTTTTACAGTCTATTTTTAGCCACGGATAGGTGAACAGTCTGTCAGGTTTTGCCCTGCGTGCCGGTTCGATGTCAGCAAAATGCACAGACATCAATTATGGTACATCTGCACTTAAGGAAGGAATCACCTTTAAGTCCCACAGTGTACGCAAAGATACCTTGAGGATAGCTGTGGTGAACTTCTTTCCATCCACTAACTCCGACAATGGAGTATTGTTATCGAGTGGACCTGTACAACCATCAGTGTAGGGTGAAAATGCTTCCATGAGCTGACAGGACCATTTGTCTCCTGTCTCTAACTTGAATTAGACTAGCTGTCAGCATACTAACTCTTGTTTCTCTCGTTAATTGTATTCTCAAGGTTTGACCTTCTTGTAATCAAATCTATACATGTAGGTCCAAAGTTAGCTGATAACTCCTTTCTTCAACGCATGTGTCTTTTTCAGTAACGACGGCTCTTAATTAGTGGTACTTGCCTTGTGTAAATACAAGTTATTGTATTTATTAATCATGGATAAGATTTATGATAGCACTAACGTGACGTAGACAACTTACTGTCAAGAATATTTTCCCAGTGGATCTTCAAGTAGTTGTCTCTATCAGGTCTACTCTGCTCGTGCCAAAAGCCAATCGCATGTCCAAGCTCATGGGTCATGACGTGTTTGTATTCACATCCATTTCCAATGGACAGCCATGTCTTACGACCTCGTACTTTACCAACCTCGCACCAGCAACTGTTGAGAAAACAGGGCGCAATACAAATATATAGCTCTGAAATTTTGGCTTTTGCAAAAAATTCAGCTACCACTCCTGACATAGCTGCTTCACAAAATAAGAGCCAATGAAAAATGATACTTTAATGATTAGCTGACGTAAATAGGGCTGGTAACTGTGCAGTGGAGGGAATTCCAAGAATGGCATTCCCAGTGCGTCTTCCTTGTCACCACTATACAACTATCCATCCCAATATCGGATACAGAGCTACTTTGTTAGTTAGTTTTATTTTTGCCATTTATAAATATATTTGACTTTCATGTAATCAAATCTACATGTAGGTCCATGCAAAGTTGGTTTATAACCCTTTTCTTCGCCGCTCGCGTCCTTGTTCCGTAACGACGGCTTTTAATGGTACTTGCCTTGTTTAGACTCATTTTATTATATTAAAACTACATTAAAGTTATAATACTAAAATAATATTTAAGCATTACTCTGCCAGCTATTCATATCAAACGTCAATTAGGGATTGCTTTACGTCTTACCCCATTCCACGGTGGAACCACAGGTATTCCTTCTCAGTTGTCCTCTTCACGAACGTGATGCACGTCTTGCTCTCCCACTCGGCAATGGCTTCCATTGTGGTTCTCACAGCCCGATCCATGCTGGCTGTCAATGTAAAGCAGCCTTAGTCTAACCAACGATAATACACCATGATTATCTCTAATCGGTAAAGAAATTGGTTCTAACCAATCAGAAATTTGCAGGCATCAGTAAGACTACCCCTACCTAAACAGCCGTATTTTTAAACTGATTTTAAACTGTTCGAAAGTATTTTGACGATTTAAACAGTATTTTGAAATCACCATAGGCAAGAGGAAATGAGAGACCTCATTTTCTCTTGCCATAGGGTGAAATAGAAGAAATGGAAACTGTTTAGTTGAAAACCTGAAGTGTATTGAAATACTCACCAACACTACAGTCAAACTCGTAAGGAATGACAGCATTGGGCCACTTTATCTTGTCAACATTAGTTGCAGCGCGTGACGGTGCTCCATCAGGGTTTCCAAAGAGGATATTATTCAGTCGCTGTTCTTCTGATAACTTGATGTCTCCTTCGTAGAGATGGGATAAGTGGTGCGGACTCTCTGGAATGTCTGTAATAGTGAATTGTTGCACCAATGACAAAAAGACCATTTTTGTTTTTTCAGAATTATTTGTGTTTTGAATTGAAGGGCTATCTCTTTCAATATCTGTTCTTTAGTCCACCTCCATCGATTAATGCTTATATGGATAAGTAGTATGGTTGAGTAGTAAGCTGCTTACTTTCTCAAACGAAACAATTTGAAATCGAAAAGCTAATTTAACTAGTCTGACAAAGCAAGTTAAAACTCACCATTTCCAAGATTAACGTCAAGAATCCTCTCGAATGCTCCTTTCTCCCCCAGGCCTCCTTTGGCCAAGACGAGACCACCGAGGACCAAAAGTGAGAGTGGGTTCATTGGTGAAGACGGTGCTGTGGGAAATCAAGGAAAACATCAGTAAGCCACGTTCGATATATCAATATTCTAACATGGCTCCGAGGCTTCCTGCTCAAAATTGTAAAATTTTAAAGTTTCTTTTGTTTCTCAATGCCCAAAAGAGACTTGGATACAAAGAAAACAACACCAAAGATATAGATGTTTGTCCTGAAAGCCTCGGAGCCATGTTAGAATATTGATGTATCGAACGTGGCCTATTACCTTGTTTACGTTAAAGCGATCTACGCTTCTCACCAGCACAAATCATCGATGTTGAATTTAGCCTGCCAAATTTTAAGCTAAGACGGCATGGATTGAGACAATGTTTTTTTTTCTTCGTAATAATGAGAGAAATTAACGCATATTGGGATAATACAACAAGGATTGACTTTTTTTCTTCTTGAAAAAACCTGTGTGAGAGCTATTTAAAAGCACTTTCAAAAACATGAAGTACCTTGAAAGTATGTACAATGTGGTCAATTATATAAGGACGAACATTCCCCTCATTAAGGCTGGAAACACAAACCTATAGGTAAAATTATTTAACGATAGAACGGTCAATATCGATTCAATTTAACCTGAACGACTTCTTCGGGTAAATAATTTGCAGGGTATTCCTAGCCATGTGCTCTCGCGGAACTAGAGTTTTAGGGCATTCGGTCCCTGTTTAGTTCAGTGGTTTACTTTAACCGAAAAGAAATCTAATTTTAATTGTGATATAATTATTTACGCCTAAGAGGGCTAAAGTTAACTGTCAGAAGGTCCTCAATACCGTTTCTTGTTTTTAATGCAATTGGCTAAGGGGTTTCCAGTCGCCATAATGAATTTTTCTTTCCAGGGGCAGAAGAAAGGGGGAATCGCCATTTGTGGAAACTCTCTTACTTGTTCTGGTATCTTTCTTTTAATATTAACAATTGCTAAGGCAAAAAAAACAAACAAAAAACCCCGGAAACTCACTACTATACTTATATTAATTTTTGGTGGAATGCAACGAAGAGGAATCTGACTAGTGAATCTGTTTCACTTGCTCAGCTTCTCGGTACTTTTTCAAACCGGTATATCATCCACTTACCTGATTTATAAGAGGTCGTCCTCGTACAGCAAGTGCTGAAAGAGAGCATTGTGTCCCCCTTTTCCTTTACCGCTTATTTGAACAGTTGCCGGTATGATTTGCCTTCAGCGAATCAACAGCTTTCACTGGGATGCGCCTGTATTTGTAAAAGAAACAATAAGTTGCCTGCGTGAACACTTATTTGATTATCATGTAATTGTATTTCTGAATAAAGGTTGTGTAATGTTATGTGATACCTCGCGTTTCAGCTCACTTGTCAGTTTTGTGTTTTTACACAAAATTATGTAAGCAAAGCCGGAAAGTACGATCTGTTTAGTTTCTCAATTGTATCTATAACGATAGATACAAAGGCGTGAAACTTTTATGGAAGTTATATGTTGTTTTTACTCAAAATGCTTTGGTTACAGAAATTCGCATAAAGAATTATGCAGTTTTTATTGCATGCTGGGAGCCACGTGTTTTGTTCCTTCGCCACCTTGGATAAGCCGTGTTTCTTCGATCGAGTCTCCCGTTTCTTTGCCAAATACATGTACTACAGTACCTTAATACTTGAAGTAGTGAATAAGTATATGCCGGATTCAAAACGCAGATGTAACTGTACTGTGATGTAACAAACTGCAAAGCAAAAATCTTACATCAAGTACACCTCTTAGCAGCTAGAAAAAACTCATGTGCTATAACAATAATAACTTTATTTACGTGTCAGTGAGATTTAGCATTGCTGCTAATTGGGGACACCTATTTCATAACTCGAATTTATTTTGTGAAGAAATCAAGCACTTTAAACCTTATGAAATCAGGCTAGTAACGAAGAAATTAAAAAACAACGATGTTTACTCAATCCGGCCGGAGTATGGAGCAGTTTTCAATTCAGTGTTTAAAACCAAAACTAAACCAATTAGAATACTCAGCCGGCAACCGCAAATCGTGGTAGAACCAAAACTAAAGTAATTGCCTAATTTCTTTCGCCACTCAATTGAAAACCGCTCTAAAAGGATTTGTAAGAATTATAATGTAATATAATGCAATTGCAGTCAAGGGCAGAAGAGGATAGTCGATTATTTCTAAAATGTTGCATCAAACAATGGGGTTTGAAGCGGAATAAGTGATGAATATTGTGTGTATAGTGTCTCAAAATGAATGCTGAATAAAAATCATGAACGAGTGGTAAATTGTCACTTTTTTACGTTGCACTGTAGTTTCAAAGTTGAAAATCAAAAAAGGTAAATCAGTTTTCAAAGGGTAAAATGAAGCCGCCGAAAAAATATTTGTTCAGGTTTAACAGAAGTTAAAATAAATTCTCTGAAATTGTAGTCAAAGAGTAAGTAAACTAATGGTCTCTTTGTTTTATCAAAAACGTCGCTTAGATATATCTAACGAACTCAAAAATGAAATAGCTACAGCTGCTAACATCAACAGAAAATTGGTGTTAGCTGAAAGCAAAAAGCAACAACCTTGGTCACAAGGGTTGGAAAAAAATCATTCTATACACATTTTGCCCCTCCCCACCCCTGTGCAATGTTGACAAAACACTTTCATCTGACACAAGTTTGCATTTTACCATTTTCCAACATTGGAAGTGGGAATGGGGGTGTTGACACTTATTCTGTAGGCATTAAGATTATGATTTCATGTTTTTGGCATTTTCCAACACAATTTGTCCATGATTGAAGGTCGGCAAAAATGTCCACACACTTATGCGGCTTGAGCAAAAGGATACTCATGATTTCTTATAGTTCTTGATCTTAACTTGGTTCAGTTAATTTCTCGAAAAAATCCGATCACCCGACCGCTCAAATAGTGTATTCAATAGCCCACGTACGATATATCAAAATTTGTAACATTATACCAAGGCTTTCTGCCAAATTTCTATATTTGGTCTGTATTTTTTTTTGTTTGTGTGTCAATTGGCAGACTAAGGAATCTTTAAAAAAAGTACAATTTTGGGTAAAAGGCCTAGGAGTCATGTTAAGTTAGAATTTTCATATATCGAGCAATGTATCGAGCGCCATTGATGTTGATATATAACCGACATATATTCGGTAACATTCTTGTTTAGTAGGCTGGAATTTTATGTGCCCGGCTTACCCCTATCTGTTTATTTTTTTGGTCAGAATTTTTTCGCTGAATTATCGTACATAAGTTAATTACGGTTACAAGAAAGAAACATGAATATATATGTCCCCAGAAATGGTGGAGGGTGTAACACTTAGTTTCCAATGAACTGACTTCTCATAGACACAAGCAATCTTCGATCGATGAAAAACAACTGGCAAACTCATGAATAGACCTCGTTCGATTGATCAATATTCTAACATAGCTCCGAGGCTTTCAGGACAAACTTCTATATTTGGTGGTGTTTTCTTTGTATCCAATCTATTTTTGGAACTGATCGAGGGACAAAGGAAACTTAACAAATTTGCAATCTCGGAGCCATGTTAGAATATTAATATGTCGAACGTGGCATATTACTAAGAGCTGACACGCTTTCACGGTTAATCAACGCACAACATCTTTTCATTGGAATAATACATATAGACACACTGTCGTTTTAACTAAAAATAAACAGTGAGAATATAAGACCTGTCAATTTCACCGGGGAGATAATTAATGAGGGTCTGAAAAGGAAGCACGCTTGTCTCAACGTAGGTGTCTGTGAATAAGTAATTGGATCGAGTTAAATAGATCATATACATGGAATATTTGCTTGCAAATAGAACGTTTATGTTTTTCCCACTTGGGTTATCTTAGCCTTTTATAGTCATGCAATTACTGTAGGTGGCATGTAACAACGCACATCACGTGTGGCAGGGATTGGGGGAATGTAAATGCGTCAATTCTTCTCTTGGCGAAGTTCTTCCTCAGTAACCTCTCCTTAAGTACGCGTCCATTCAGACACGGATTTCTCATTGAGTGAAGACTCATGTCTTTAAGGTAAATTTTGTTTGCCCAGTAAACGAGCTCAGTCAGTACAGCACTTGTTAATAACTACTATTTGAGAGAGCCCAGTGGGAGGCATAAAGATCTATTGGACGTGCTGAATAGTTTCTTCTTGATCTTGTTCCTTCCACTGAAATCCTGTATTTGAAATCCTGGTATGTTCCAATTCCTTATAATGTAATCTTTGAGATGCTGTTGCAGTTTCCTACTAGCGCTTGATATCATAGTGGCTTTGTTCAATCAATTTCAGTTCGGCTTTGTTCCGACGAAGAGCCCTTATAGTACAGTTTACTGTTTTGGATAGTTTTTACTGAATACTAATATGTCGAGTATAGTAATCGTTTCATCTTAAACGCAATAGATAATGAAAGGTTTCCCTGGCGTTATAGAGCCCGGTGAATAAGCCCGTGAAATTTCACTTTTACTTGATACAAACGTATAAGAGGAAACAGCATTTCAATAACTTGAACACAGCTATAAGTTATAGAGTGAGTACTATTCATTTCCTTCAAGAAGATCTTCCTTCAGTGAATCTAAAATGGCTAAGGTATGATTAAGTGTTGAGAGATGTTAATAGTTCTAACGTTTTCTGCACTTTGTTCAATTGAAGCTCACAATAACTGATAAATGCTCAATGCTCTTATGTGTCCTTATTAAATAGTTTTGACTTTGACTGTTGCTATACTCTTGACAAACCTTGCGTTATACAAGTCATTCAATTTTAGAGAACCATAGTTCTGCAATTATATGTCAACCATTTCTGACCTCTGTACAAGTAAATGATTTATGTCTTAAGCCGAAACATTGCTTAAAGCAAAGCAAAGTAAATCTTAAGTTCGTCCCCGTCATTCCGGCTCCGTCTGTCTCAAAAAGAAGTACATTGGAAAATAAATTTCGATTCCCAATTTCTGCTCTTAAATACGATTTTTTCATAGGGAGTTTTCATGTTTGCCATCCTCATTCTTTTGATGTCCAGTGAAACATTCTGCCGGATACAGAGTTGGAAAGTCATCTTAAACCGGCCTGGCCTGCCAGAACGTAACCTTCCTATAACATCAAACTCTTCAGGGAGCTATGTTGAGTCCGCTTCCAAGCCGCCGCATTCGCAGAATTCGGACTTCTGTTGTGTGAAGAAGACGTTTTACAAGAATGGCAGAGTTCAGTTCAAATGCAAGAGTGAGCATCCCGACTGCTTTGCAAAATCAAATGCATGGAGCCCATCATATGGATTGTGTGAAAGCGTTGTGGATAACAAAAACAATGTTATCGGTTGTCGTTGCGCTGCCTAGACGAAAACCTTTTCATCTGAAAATTTCTGTCTTGATATATGGTAAATGATATTTTACGCGTAAATAAGGGAAGAGTTTTCTTTCCAAAGTCGTTGCATGTATACGAAGCCTAATGTAACTTTTATTTTTATTTTTCGAGAGAATATATTTTTTTGCCTGTTTGTTTAGTTTTGTTTTGTTCGTCCGATATAACAAGACACGTTATGGTAAGGTCGGTAAGGAAAATCTGATGTAAACTTGTAACATTGTCCGGTAACTTGTTTTAATATGCTATTTTAAACTGAGCAGTGAAATTGCTAGTGTAAATTGAATGCCTCATCAGACAATAAAGCGTCATTTCATGGTGTGATAGGAGCAATCAATCAATAAGGGAAATCTGGAACAAATGTGTATTGATCAGTTGCTTAATAGATCTTTTCTTTGCCCCGCGGTAAGCAATTTTAAACTTTAAAAGCTACGAGGCATAAGTTAAACAGGATATAAGTTTAGAATTATGACTTCTAGTCCTTACATGTATGTGCCTCTTGGCATAAAGAAGTGAGAGGTGACGGTGATTCTTATTCTACAATAGTGTACCAACAACAAGCACATGACGGTCGCACCCACTCGCACCTTTTGTAGTAAGGGCGGTCTCTAACTTAGTCTTGCTAGTGTTAATTGCCAAAAGAGTTTAAACAAAAAGTATTAAGAAACGTTTTTGTTGTAAAAAGACACCTAGAAATTAAGGCTTTCAGGAGATCGTCAGACCAAGTCTGGCAACGTTAAAACTGAAATTATCCAAAACAAAAAACAAAAACAAAAAAACAAAAAAAGCAATATTAGGACTGTACAATTTTACAATGAACCAGTACTGCAAAGTTCCTGAAAATCACATCTAAAAGTTGCAAATTTAATTTGGAAAACCTGTTCGCTCAAACTCGGACGCCATGGCAAAATCAAGAATACTTAGACTTGCATGTCGTTTCAGGGAACGAGCGAACACCTGCCTAAATGTTTAGCATCTCAGAGAGACGCACCTCTCTGAAACTGCGGAAAAATATTATGTAGTGTAGTCACTTTCGGTGGGTAACTCTGTACGTGCCAGGACCCACAGAAAGCTAGCTATTTATTCCACTCTGCGGTCATCACGCTACACATCAGTTTCATTCCCACGTTGGGTTTCTGAAATAACTTAATAAACAACCAAACTAACTAATTAATAATCCATAGCAAACGGTTGAACCATTTAACAGAGTTTGGAATCACACAATACAGGTATAAATAGAAAGTAAGCTATCACAATTCAGCTCTGCCAGTCCGTACTGCGCACTCTCGAGAGTTTGCGTTGTTGTTGTTGTTGTTGTTTTTTTGTTGTTTCATGTACGACATCACAAAATGTAAACATTTCGTAATTGCTTGTATGACGTAAATTCTAAAGTTTCAAAACAACCGCCATTATGGATGTGAAGCGGTCGAAGCTTTATGCTTCGTTCTTTCTCATATCACTTGATGAAACAAATTCGCAGCTGTAAAAATCAATGAAGCTTTTGGAAAAAAGAATTTGAAAGGCCTCAAAGATAAGTTATGCGGTTCGTAGTGAATAACATCGATTCATACTCTATATTGAGTGAGACTTAATAATTTTTATAAACATTAGGGTGCTGAGACAGCGCAGTACGGACTGGAGATCATCTTTAACGCTGTTTCGTTCTAACTTTGGGTTTCTGAAGTAAATTAGCAAGTAAAATTTAAATCCATAACGAACAGTTATAAGCTAATACATATAACAAAGTTTGGGAAAATAAAAAGCAGATCAGATTAAGACACCAACTGTGCTTTGCAATTCGCCGGCAATGCTAATAAGAGTGCTAAATTGATTTAGCAGGCGCTTGATTATAAGTTAGAAAGCAAGATGGTAAGATTAGCTAAGGTTAATTCGCAATTATTAGGATTACAATTGCTGTTTCAAATATTGCTATACATATATTTCATAAAACCTTATGTGCCCGATCGTGACGGCTTTGAATGTGTTCAATGCTTAATTTCATGGAAAACATTCCCAGTAGAGTGATGCGAATCGATAAGGGATGCTCACAGGGTAGTCTGCTTCCTCCTTTAGTAAACTGACTGTACTTTTTTTAGGTTCTTTTCTTCGACTGAGTAAGATCTTGTGACTACACTTAATATTTCAGAGATTCAAAGAAATCACACGAAGAGCGTTGTTACAAAGTGTACAGTGCTGTTATATAAATCAACGATCGCTTCCGAGAACAATTTTAATAATAGGCCACGTTCGGTATATTCGTCAATATTCTAATATGGATCCGAGGCTTTCGGGTCAAAATTACAGATTTTTTGAAGTTCCTTTTATCTCACAATTCCCAAAACAGACTTGGATACATAGAAAACACCACTAAATAAAGAACTTTGTCCTGAAAGCCTCGGAGCCATGTTAGAATATTGATCAATCGAACGTGGCCTATTGAATGTGCCAGCTAAATTTTGGGATATCTTGGGAAAATTCAGCGATTATAAAGCTCGATCATTAGCCGCTGTTCGGGAAAAGAGCCCGCGTTCCTCCCTCTTCCCCTGGGGAGGAACATAGATCGGACTTAGTCGAGACAAGTTGGAAATCGAGACTAACCGCGATTATGATCGAGTATCATTGTAGTCAGACCCTACACTGTTGGCTGAGAAAATGAATCATAAATGCAAAAGTATTCGCCAAAATGAAAGACTGATTCATATATACCAAGCATAATTTGTAACAAGTAACATTCTTTGCTTTTTGTCTAATTCTTCAGTTTTGTGTGGTTCGCGAAGTCTGATATATTAAGACCAATTAAGCTTTGCAAGGCATTATTCTTGATGTCTCCAGCAAGGTGTACTAAATTGCGCTGAGGTAGTTTGTTAAATTGAACATTGTAAAATATGTCTACGCAATATCATCCTAGTTTGTATACTAGGGGAACGGTAATAAAAATCTAATGTATCGGCCTGTAACATATTCTGATAAGATTGCTTTAATATAGTTCAAATAGAGGAAGTATCGTTATTGTAAAAGACTAGGAGTCAGCGCCTCGTGGTTAAGTATTAAATTTGAAAACAACAACATTGCTCTTTATTTTCGTTCATTTTAAAATTACGTGTTATTTGGCCGGTGGATAGCAAGTGCTCATCTAGGTGGGCCATTAATCGCTTATGCCTATAACTAGATTAATTAAGTAACAATAATAACAATTAATTACAATAATAACAAAATATTGTAATATTTCTTCACTTACCTTTCAGTAAGGGGAAGCACCCTTCCTCTTATAAACTGGCCAAGTTATTTCCCATTAGATCGTCTTGTAGAGCTATTCAGGCCAGGAGCATCAAGCGCACGTCTTTCGTACCCTTTTACGGTAACAATCACGATGGAATTTCAAAAGTTTCCTTGCCACAGTCTAAGTCAGTTTGCGTTATAGGAAAAATCCATTGTTTATGTGTGGAAACTGAATGTCAAAAATTTTCCAATCACTTAGTTTCACTGTAGTCATATGAGTGGTTAAAGAAAAGGTCAAGTGATAAGCAAAAAGTCAATTTTTAGCTGTTCAAGCAGAGCTAATAAATTTCCCATGACATTGCGCGAAAGTATAAGAGCGAACTATTTGTCTATGAAGACCACCATACGTTGCCGTGAGGTATAGAAATATCGTCATTTTCCTTCAAAAGACTGTTTCGCCGATCAGAACCTTAAACCGAAATGATGAAGGTATGTTTTATTTAAGCCCCCAGATTCTATTGCGAGACGTTCTTGCCCCTTAATGTTAACTATAGGTTTTGTTACAACATCTTGAAAGTTAAAGTTCCTATAGGAATAATATAAAACTGAGTTTTCATAATGCTGATTCCCCATAAGACTGTATTTTTCAACTTAATCCTAAAAGTAATTCAAAATGCGCGAACTGGGGTGTTTAAATGACAAAAAGAAATGTTGAAAATTACTTTTAACAATATAAGCGGCCTATTGCCCAAGATTCAAAATTCCCTTTTTCACACACGCAACATTATCTAATACTTATGAAATAGAAACGCGAGTCGATTCAAATCCCCATTTTTAGGCTTGAAAATCAAACTACCTGACACTTTTAGTCTGCAATCCTGAACAAAGAAGCTGTAACATGTGAAGGCAACTAATTCAGTCCTATCACAAGAGCCAAATGTTACAACCGAATGCCACCTCTCTCTATACAGGAAGCGGTTATTTTCGTCCTTGTTGTTCTTTTCCTATCCTACGAAACAACCTGCTCGCCACAGAATCCGAAAAGGCAAGCCATTGACAACAGCCTGTCACCGCGGAGCCACCTTGCGTCGGAGAACAATTCTTCACGTTTCAAGCGACACATAGATGTTGACGACTGTTGCGTCAAGAGGAAGGTTTACTCTAATGGGAGAGTTTTAATTGAATGCATGAGTGAACATCCCGACTGTTTTGCAAAATCAAATGCGTGGAGCTCATCATTTGGGCTATGTGAAACCATTGTAAATAGGAAAAAAAATGTTATCGGTTGCCGGTGCGCAGCCTAAAAGAAAACGTTTTCGCCCGTAAAGTTTTGTCCTGAAATGTATTAAGTGATATATATGACGCGTAAAAAGAAGAATAGTTTCTTTCCAAAGTCAATAAAATCTTTCATGTATAAAAGGCCTATTATAAAATTATTCATTGCCTTTTCGCGAAAAAAAAAAAAAAATGTCTGTTTGTTCAGTTTTGTTTTGGTTAATGAAGTCCGAAATATATGGATACGTTAAAGTTTGCAAGGTATGATTTTGACATCTCCAGCAATATGCTGAGTTGCTTTCAGGTGATCATTCTATAAAATATGGCTACATAATTCTAGATTGTATACTATACTGGAAGAATGGCAATGAAAGTCTGATCTATACTTGTAACATTTTCGGGTAAGCTTGTTTTAGTATGTTATTTTAAACTAAGTAGAGGAATGGCTTGCAAATTGAATGTCTCAATAAAGCCCCATTTTACAACTGTAATTGTGTTGATTCAAGCAATACACGAAATAAATGAAAGCTGGAGCAAATGTGCATTAATCTTTCTTTAAAAAAAAAATAAACTTCTTTGGCAAGCTTGTAAGCAAATAAGCCAAAAAGGGAACTACCTTCAGAATTATGAATGCTTACTCTACTAGCAACGTGCACTAGGCATAAAGAGGAGGTCACTATACAAGACCTCCTTAATAATTCATCAAGTTTAAACAAAGGAAATCATGACTGTGACGGTATTTGGATATTTGATCTTAATTACCATAGATTTTTACGATTTTATTTTTCCGTTTTCTCCTTAGTTTTAGTTTCAATTGAGAAGATATATCAAACACTCAAGACAGTGTTTGACCACATTTCCAAACACCTCGAAGTTCGTTAAAAATACTCCGCTGTGCGTCGTATTTTCAACTTTATTCTCGGTCTTTCGTGTTCGATATGTTACGTCACATGTAACGGTCACACCTCTTTGTAGTAACGACGGTCTTTAAGTTAATCTTTTAAAAGCGCTCATACAAGAGCTAGTAACATTTTTGTTGTTTTAAGACACCTAGAAATTAAGGCCTTCATGATGATAAAGTCCAGTCAGACCAAGTCATGTGACATTTCACTTCGATAACGTCGTAAATAATTCCAAAAAGACAATATACATGTAAATATAAGGACTCTACAATGAGAGCTAATGAGCTAAAGTAGTGCAAAGTTCCTAAAATGTATATATGTAAGATTGCAGTTTTGAGTAAATCTGTTTGTTCAAACTCGGACGCAATGGCAAAGTCAAGAACACTTAGACTAAGACTTGCACGCCATATCAAGGAATGAGCTAACAGCCACTGAATTTTAATTTTCAGATACAATTTTTGCAAAACAAACATCCCAGAGGGACACTCGTTTTCAAAACTGCAACAAAACTTCATGTCACTGGTGGTGGGTAAAATGTACGTGCAAGGGTTAAGAACACACACAAATTAAGCTATTCAAAATTCAACCCCGTAGTCTTCAAGCTGTTCACCAGTTTCGTTCTTACGTTGAGTTTCTGAAATATATTAGCAAGTAAAATAGCTAACAATCCATTGCGCTAATATATTTGACTGAACGTTTGAGAACATACAATACAGATGATAAAAAGAAAAATATGAACTGTACTTTGCAGTTAGCTGCAATGCTCGGATAAAAGCTATAAATGTATTTAGCGAACGCTTAATTATAAGCTAGTAAACAAGATATTAACATTAGATGAGGTTAGTTCGCAATTGTTAAAACTGAGGCTGTTTCAAACATTGCTATACTTGATTTCACATAAGACCTTATGAGTTCCGTCGTGATGGGGTTGAATCTGTTCAATGCTCAGGTCCCGTTTAATTTCGTGGAAACCGTTCTAGGTCGAGTTGTGCGAATCGCTTAAAAGGAAATGAAAATTTATTTATAGGAGAAGAACCGATAATTAAATGTATAAGCAATACTTAGAGCGCAGTCTAGTTCCTCCTTTAGTAAATACTCTACAACGTTTTTTTCGCCAAGTACGATCTTGTAACTGCACTTACAATAATATTCCACAGAGCGTTATTACAGGTGCTGTTATTTTAATACGGGATCACTACCAGGAACAATTTTAATAATAGAATGTGTCAGATAAAGTGTGTGTGAAATCTTGGGTAAATTTAGCTATTATTACTCTCGATTAGCAGCCGCTGTCCAGGAAGGGTACCCACGCTCCTCCCCTAGGGACGAGTAGATAAGACTCCGTCGAGAAATGGGGCAAATCGATCCTGAGCGATTATTAGTCGTCCAGAAAATTTCCCCGCTCAAACTGTAAATTTCATTGTAGTACTACAATGCTGGCTGAGAAAAAAGTTGTTTTTTTTTTGTTTCTTCATGCAGATTTTTGTTGTTCGTGAAGTCTGATATATTAGAAGTCTGTTCATTTTGCAAGGTATTATTTTGATATCTCCAGCAATGTGTGCTGAATTGCTTTAAGGAAGTTGTTACATTGAACATTGTAAAATATGGCTATATATTCCAAGTTGTTATACAATACTGGAAGAATTTTAACGTAAATATGATGTATACTTGTAACATTTTCTGGTAAACTTGTTTTTAACATAGTTTAAGTAGAGGAAGTCAAAGTGATTGAAAAAGACAAAAGATATATTAGAAGTCTTCGTCTCGCATAAAGCATGAAAATAATGTATTATTTCTTCACTTACCTTTCAACAAGGGGAAGTTCCCTTGCTCTTATAAACTACCCAATCTTCTATGAGATCGTCTTGTAGAGCTATTCTAGGAGCATCAAGCACGTGTCTTTCGTACCTTTTCATGGCAATATTAGCATGGCATTGTTGAAACAATATTTATTAACAGGGTTTTAACCGAATAACCATGGAATTGCAAAATTAAAGTTTCCCTGCTCTAGTCTAAAGAGCTTGCGTTATAGGACAAACTTAGTTTTTAAATGGACAGAGAAAGTTAAAAATTTCCCAATTACTTAGTTTCACTGTAGTCCAACGACTGGTTAAAGAAAAGGTTAAGCGATGAGGAAAAAGTCAATTTTTAGCTGTGCAAGCAGTGCTAATCAATTCCCCATGATATTACGCGAAAGTATAAGAACGACCTGTTTGCCCATGACGACTACCATAAGTTGCAGTGAGTTATAGAAACATCGTCATTATTTTTCAAAAAAGACTGTTTCACGGATCAACAAAACCTTTGACCAAAATGATGAAGGTATGTTTCATTTAAGCTTCTGGATCTAATTGCGAAACTATCTTGTACTGTTATGTCTACGACAAGTTTTGTTAAGAGCTTTAAAAGTAAAGTACCGGTAGGAATAATCAAACTGCTCTCGATTCCCCACAAGGCAATTCAGTTTTAAATCCTCAAAGTCATTCAAAATGTGTGAAGTGTGAGTGTTTCAATTAAAAAAAGGCGTGCTACAAATTGATTATAACAATATAAGTCTACTTCCATAGAGTCAGACTTCCATTTTGACACTGACGCATCATTATCTAAACATATTCAAAACGTTCTATTTGACTCAACCGTCTCATTTTTATTTTTAAAAATCATGCTTCCCAATTTTTGCAGTCTGCACTCCTGAACAGACAGAGGCTGCTATATGCCGTATATGAAAGCAACTAATTGTGCTAAATTTTACAACCGAATATCATCTCTTTTTATACAGGAAGCAGCTATTTTCGCCCTTGTTATTCTTTTCTTATCCTACGAGACAACCTGCTCACCAAAGAATCCGAAAAGGCAAGCCATTGACACCAGCCTGTCACCTCGGAGCCATTTTGCATCGGAGATCAATTCATCTTCACGTTTTAAGCGAACCACACAATGTGTACGGGCTACGGACAAATGTTGCGTCAAGAGGAGGTTTTTTTCTAATGGTAGAGTCTCGTTTGAATGTAGAAGTGAGCATATCGACTGTTTTGGAAAATCAAATAGTTCAAGCACATCATTTGGGCAGTGTGAAAGGGTGGTGAATCGCAAAAACTTTGTTATAGATTGTCAGTGCGCTGCTGGCATATAGAATGTTTAAAAGGTAGGCGCTTATTCTGGTCTGAGTTAACTGATGATATGATATTTATGTAACAAAATGTAATGAAACCGATTGTAAACGATTGCCTAAATAAAGCATTTGATTTCAAGGCCTAGTTTGTGTTTAAATGAATACTTTGACCCCGTGCATCATCTATTTTATAAATTCACATACTTTTCACATGCAGTTACTCTCTTCAATGATTGGTGACCCCATCTTTCTTCATAGATCAATTGCTTTACTGATTTTCTTCACATTTGAACAGAAAAATATCTGTACGTGAGAAGTTACAAATAGTATGCCTTTTTTACTCTCGTGCAACGGAAGTTTTCTTCGAATATGTATTCTGTTTCAACGCCATTATACCTCAAAGACAGACATCAGATACAAAAGTTTACTTAATAGACTTAGTTGTTATGAACTGAGTACGTTTACCTGATCTAAATTCCACTAATGTAGCTTCTTTTGTTTGTAATAGTTTTAAACTAAGATCACCGTAAAAACTGAACGAAATCTTCTAAAAACGAAGGGTCTTTAATGCGCCTTATCTCGAAAACGAGCATGTAGATGCTCCATTTTTTCCTTTTTGGCAAACGTTGATTTTTGCTTTGCTGCGCGGCAAGTTATAAAAAGTGTGTACGCTGGAACGTTTTGGGCGCGAACAACCGTAGTGGGTAAAGAAGAGTTGAAAAATAGCAAACACAGTCGCATTCGTAGAAGTTAATTACTTCGGTATTGTGTATGCACGGGATATTGTAACAGCGCTGCCATATGTTATCATTGTGCTGGTCATAAGTCCTGAACATTCATGCTCCGGACTGTGTGCACAGTAAAATCGCATCAAATTAACGAAAGGTAATAGAGCACAGTGTCAGAGGGTTGTCAAAAGTTCATCTATGAATCTATGTTATGTACGCGCATTTACACTGATGGACTTAGGATGTGGTGAGCCGTTGTTTTTTAGGAGAGCTGCAGCTTTTTCAACTCACTGGTAAAAACCTAACTGTTGAATAAAATGCATAAATTGCCTGAATTAAAACAATTCGAGAAGAAGACTAGAAATTTTTCAGTTCTGAGCTTTTATTCTTTGTCATCATTCCATGCCGGTTTTGATTGATCTACGCCAATGATGGTATGCCCCCGTTTGTGATGTTTGTTGCTGCTGAACTCCTGCGAATTATACCACAAAAAGAACAATTATATTTTAATCAATACAACAGGAAAAAAATTAACCTTAACAGTTACAGGGCAAAACAAAAAAGCAATCAAGAAAGAACCTTGATAGTGTATTCTGGATTGCATGCAGTTGCTAAGAACAGATGCGAATTACGGTCAGTCGAAACTAAAATACGCATTCAGATGAAATAATTATAACGTTAGTGTTAATTATGAACTACAATTATGGACAAAAGTCTTGGGACAAATTTACACTTTTGGTGCTTTTGGGCACACGCCAGACGCGAATACAACTTCACCTGCCAAACCTCGCCCCCCACCCCCCCATACAATGTTGAAACTACTACCTGTAATTTCTTCCGATTTTCAACATTGTATTGGGTGGGGAGGGGGAAGAGCAACGCGTTTTTAAAAGGAAAACAGCGCATTTTTCAAACTTCAGTAGTAAAACACAGATAATTCGTTAAATTACATAAGTGTCCCAAGGACTTTGTCCACGATTGTAGCTACATGTACATGGAACGAACTTCGATGATTATGAGTTAAACAGGAGACAAAGGAGTTTGAAACCTACTTTATCAATTCTAAAATACCAACTTATTCTTGATATGAACTGTATCCTATACGTCCTATAACGCCGCTCATAAGCATATTGAGTTTTCTGGATGGTAAATGCCATCGATCCGGCCAAATCTGACATTTAAGGTTACTTCAAACCTTCGCGGGTGTATTCCAGAAAAAAATTCGTGCGCGCGCTGCTTTCAAGGAAACCCCCACAAACTATATATCAACAGAAAGGTTATAAAATGTAAAATTCGGTAAAATTATGATTTGTTTTGGATTTTGCTTTCCGAAGGCGGCAGAGGCCGTCAACTCAAAAATGACCGACTGACGCCCCAGCGAATTAATCGGGTATCAAATGCGATCGTTCATGCAAAATAACTGTGCAGT